AACCCTTTGCACTTCTACTTTGAAAGTTTCTAAGCAAAATTCCCAAACCAAGTAATCATATTGGTCCATGAGATAAAGACGTCATTCTTACGGAAGCTGGTGTTGTGGCTCTGCGGGTTAAGCTGCCACCTGCAGCAACAGCATTCCATATGGATACCAGCTTGAATCCCATCTGCTGCACTGCTGATCCAGCTCCCTAAGACACCCAGAAAAGCAGCGGTAGTTGGCGAAAGTACTTGGGTTTCCTCGACCCATGTGGGTGCCCTGGATCATGCTCGCAGCTCCTGGCTCCCACCTGGCCCCGCTCAGCCATTGTGGAGTAGACCAGCAGACGGAAGATTCTCTCTCATTTTTACCTCTGTCTTTATATTGCTGTCTCTATTTCTGTCCCTTTCTGCCTTTCAAATAAAATAAATAAACCCCTTTCTTAAAGGCTCCATTCTCCCAAAAGTTAAAGGAAATGAACCAGATAATGGTTGTATTGGCTTATGTTCCTTCAAACAATTTTTCTTCTGTTTTTCAGTGCTGTTTTAGTAAGTCAAGATTGTTATGGGAAATAAACAATATTTTGCTTTTCCAAATTACATATGAATCCTGATAAACCTCTGTTGGATTCATTTTTCACTGCATACTGCAGTTCTGAATTCGGCTGCTCTATACCCAGAGTCCCCAGGTGATGCGGTTGGGATATGACGTCAAGCGTGCGACCTGAGGGAGACATTGGCAGCGTCAGTTCTGCTAAGCGTTGTTTCTTGCCACCTTTAGTTGCTGGTTTGTCCCTTTCTGGCACTGACCCAAAGAAAACCAGCGTATGTTCCTTCATTAACACTTACTTTAATTAACAGTATTCAGCAATTAATCAATTCGATTGAATTTGGCTTTATAAGGCACGGGGATATAGGATGATGTGTTTAATGATACTGCTATTTGGTTACTACTCTTGGATATTTAATAAATTATTATCCATTCTTTAACTCAATGAAGATTTAGGAAATGCTTTTAATTTCAGTTATCTCATGAGGTAAACCAAATGTATTAGAAAGGCAGGCTGCTTTGTATGTGCACGCTGTTCCAGAAGCACAACTCCTGAAGTGGGTTACGGACTGTAAAGTGAAGTATTTTTCCAGACTCTCATTATCTTAACGCTGAAGGTGACCCTTTAGTATTGAACACAGCATGCACTTCATTCCTGCAGCAGGCTTTATGATGTCACTTCATTTATTCATCGCATTTCAGAGGACCCTGCTATGAGTTATGAGGCTACCACTTTGAATTGAAACTGTAGAAGATTGTAAGCATTTCACAGCCTGACATGCCCATGCTTCCTATTTTAGACCTAACTGATCTTCAGATAACGTATGGTGGTGCAAGTAATTGGAAAATTGGCAGACCCGTCACTAGAGTGTGTTAGATGGGACCAAAATACCGTGCTGGGGCACGTAGAGTGTCTTACAAGTTAGATTTATTGCTTTTTATCAAACAGTGAAGTAGACATTTCTGGTTCACCCCCAACAAAGAACACTTTTCAATGGCAGGTGCTTCAAAAGTAATGTTTAGAGCACTGATAAAATGATTTGCTCTTGGAAAAAAAAAAATGCCATGAAAGGTTTTAGCCAGCGAGTAGTATACAATGCCACTTACTGTAACTATGTAAACGCCAAACTGTGTTGCCATTTTTGTTTGTAGTTTTTTTCCCCCCAGGATTACTGAAATCACAATGCTTCATAATCCTACAGGTAAAAATGAAATTAAAATGTGATAACTGTAGTTAACGAATACCCTGAAAATTGTGTTATAACGTTTTCTAAAATTTCTTTCACAGGAAGATGAAAATGAAGCTGACAGAAAAAATATGTCTCAGGCGCTCGGAACGGAACAGAGAAATCCAAAGAAATGAGGGCTTTTCTGTAATGCTATGAAACATTTGCCACTATGTAGTAGACTAAATTTCTAATGTAAAATGTTAAGTTGTAAAATCTAATTTGCAAAATATTCTCAATAAAATTGTTGAAAATGAAGAGAAATCTGTGCTTTTATTTGTGTTTGGAACGGTTTGACCGTTTATAGATAAACTGGACTTAAAGAGTGTTTTTAAAGAGAGAAAAATTCTTAACTGATTTTTCAGAACTATATATATGTATTTTTTTCAATAAGTACTAACACACCGGGGGACCTAATGGAAGCCTCTGAAAGTCTGTTCTCCTTACTGGTCTCTGTCTTCTTGTTCGTGGACTTGGCCAGGTTTCCAGTTACCAAGATCAGGAAAAACCTTCACGGGTCAGAGGAAACAGAGAATGCTTGCAAGTGGAAACATTTGAAATCAACCAGTGATGTAAGATCAAATAGGTTTATTTTCTCTTAGTGTAATTAGCTTATGATCATTTGACACTCTAGGGTCTCAGGGAAGGACAAAAAGAAGTTTTCATATAACATTCTCTACTGCAAAAGTAGTGCTGGAGTTTTTGATGAATAAGGTTTTTTCTTAGGACCCACTTTGTGACTTCCACAGCTTTCCAAAACATTTCAAAAACAGCGTCTCTCTTTGGTTTATGCAGTTTCCCAAATTCCTCTGGATTCCTCTAACCATTCATTTTACTCTCCATGGCTCTGATTTCCAAGCTGTCAGTTTGCCAGCCATAGCAGCAGCAATGAATCCATTTGCTATTTGCAGAGTGAAATGTTTTTGGCAGATGTCTTTGATTATTTAAGGCAGGGTTTCTTAAAATGAGAGAGCGCTCGGATGGCTCTGAGAGAATGGCCACATATAAGTTCCTCCCTGTGAGAGCAGAATCAGTGTTTGCCCGGGAGCCGTATTTTTTATCACATGCATCTGATGAGCTCAATATACACGTGACAGTAGGATATGCTGGCAGCTGTGATGTACACCAGGCTGAAACGAGAAGCTCCAACTAGTTAGCAGACCATCACCGAAGGACAGACTCTGATAAGCTCACTGTGGATAGCAGGAAAGACTGATAGGCCACACGACAGACTTTCTGGATGCGTCTTACGCTAAAGGCTGTGAGCCAATGACAAGACGGGAAAGTCTGTGCAGGGCGCGCTGGGGCTTTGCCGTAAACAAATACTAAAATGAATTTGATATTTTATTTTTCACATCAGTGTTTCAAAATACACACATTTACACAGCTTGGCACTGTATCAGTAGTGCCACTTTTCAAAAGAAAGCATAACAGGACTCATGTCCGAGCTAACAGAGTGATGGTTGCAGATCGTAAAGGTCCAGTGTGAGTTGCACCATTTGCCCTTTTGAACCTAGGAAACAGGTACTAATGCTTTTCCCGCGTTAACTGCCATGAAACAGGCTCCCATGAGATAATCAAGCTTAGGTAACTTGTACTTGGCTGAACAAGAGTTAAAAACCCAGCAGTCTTACTTCGGAATTTCACATTAAATCACTATGTAGTAGCTATTTATACCATATGTCTTTTGATCTACTGTCTTCCCTCATTAATACCTCATCCATCATTTGCTGCATCTTCAGGTCTTTCTGTTCTCCAACTTGCTAGCAACACTTTAATTCATTTTGAAGATTGGTTTAAATGAAAACATTATAACAATCATTCTATCTTCTCCAAATCAAGGAGAACCTTTTATCTTTTTTTTTTCTTTCTTTCTTGCATTGCATTCTTATGGAAGAACTCTGAGTGTATCTACTGGTTGGCTTTGATTTTTCAAGAAATCTGTGTATTTTCCAGTAGCGTGTTTGTTATCAGTGTGCTGCCACCTCTCTCGGAATGCTCACATTCCTAAAATAAACCGCTCGCTGTGTGAAGCGCAGTGACATTCAGCTGTCCTGTTTTAAATATTTATATTCAAGTAATATCTCTATCCATTTGAAACCCAAGCTGTCTGGTGTGAGCATTTTTTTTCAGAAGTGCATTCAAATGTTTAGGATCTGTACCTTCCTGCTGTGTGCACACACAGATAAGTCTCATAATGTGGAAAAGCTATTATGTGATTGTGATTAAGCCAGTCACTTTACTTAAACTAAATCGCGCATGATTTATATCTTTGTTATGTAAAATGTTACATACTAACTCAGATTCACTTTATTTTTTTTAAAGATTTATTTTTATTATGATTATTTTTTTATTGGAAAGGTGGATATACAGAGAGGAGAGACAGAGAGGAAGATCTTCCGTCCGATGATTCACTCCCCAAGTGAGTGCAACGGGGCCAATACTATGCCGATCCGAAGCCAGGAGCCCGGGCGTGCAAGGCAAGGATCTTAACCACTGCGCCACTGCGCCGGGCCCCAGATTCACTTTATAAAATATCTAAGACTAGTTGGGTGCCTTAAACAGCAGAAATGGACTTTCTCGCTGTTCCGGAAGTCAGAAACACCAGGTCAAGGCTCAGCATGGCGTCCGTTCTGGTGTTGCTTTCTCCTTGTCACATCCTACACAACCTCTGGCCACGTGAACACAGCATGCACACACGTCCAGACAAGCATGAGAGCATGGCAGTGTATCTTATAGGTACACTAGCCTTGACTGACCAGAGGGTAATCCTCCTGACCTCTTTTAACCATTATGACTCTTGCCTCAAATAGAGTCACATGAGCAGTTAGACACAGAGGAGCCAGGGCAGGGACGCAGCACCCTTAAGCTTCTTCTGTGATGTTGGAATCCCATGTGGGTGCCAGTTTTGAATCTTGGTTGTTCTACTTTCAGTGCAGCCCTCTGCTGATATACCTAGGAAAGCAGCAGATGACCCAACCTCTTGGGCCCCTGTACCCACATGGGGGACCCAGATAAAGCTCCTAGCCCCTAGCTTCATCCTAGCTAGTCCCAACTGTTGGGGTCACTTGGGGAATGGACCAGTGGATGGAGGATCTTTCCTTCTCTCTCCAATCCCTCTCTATAATTCTGCCATTCAAACAAAATACATTTTTAAAAATTAAATTTAACTCAGGATTTCAAATTTGGTCAGATATGTGGGAGTTTATTGAGTCCAGCATGACATATTGCTTAAATTTCTTGAATGCCTGCTTTGCGTGCTTCTCGTTGATAAGAAGTCTTATAACAAGTGTTTTGAATTCTGTATCCCCCATGTTCTCAATATCTTCCTCAGGTTGGCAAAGGATTTTGCTCCTTTGCAGGGGAATCTTCAGTAATATCCATCTTGCCTTTGTCTCTTCTTTTTCTCTTGGTCATTGTATTTCCAGTTAGCACATCCTTCTTCTTAGGGCAGGTTTCTAAGCTGTGTCACCCACAGCTCTACAGTTCGATTTTACTCATTGCAGTTGGTACACGGCTCTTTGTTTGCAGTCACTTGTGCCACTCCCTCCAGCAAATTCCAGGTCTGGGTTCTTTTTTTTTTTAAGATTTATTTTTATAATTTTTTTATTGGAAAGGCGTGCAGGGTGCAGGGTCCCAAAGCTTTGGGCCGTCCTCGACTGCTTTCCCAGGCCACAGGCAGGGAGCTGAAAGGGAAGTAGGGCTGCCGGGATAGAACCGGCGCCCATATGGGATCCCGGGTGTGCAAGGCGAGGACCTTAACCACTGCGCCACCGCGCCGGGCCCCAGGTCTGGGTTCTTGTGTTAGATTTTATCATGGTCTCCGTAGCCCCAGCTCCTGGCTCACCACTCTCCACCTCCTGTGATACCTTGCTGAGGCTGCATCATAGTCTGTACAGCCCTTCTCCCACTCTCTGTTAGAGCAGGTCCCAGGATTAGGGAGGCACCAGCTGTCCTTATATAGCTCGGTTGCTGTTGGTGGTGATCTCGCCGGAACCTATTGGCCGTTGGGTCTGAGGGCCACACGGACCTTTTTGCTGGTGGAGTTCCGGCCGCCAGTTCAATTCATACCGCCGCTCACAGAGTGCTGCTGGGGTATCAGTCAGTGCAACCCCACACGGTTGTTTTCGCAGTTTTCCTGTGTCTGTCAGTCTCCAGGTACCCCTCTGCTGTTGTTCTGTCCTCTCCAGTTTCCTGGAATATGTCCTCTCTGCTTCACACTGGCTAATGTTTCTCCGTCTGTTTAAACGTGTCCTTGCCCTGTTCCGCCATCTCAATTCTCATGTTTTTTTTTTTTTTTTTAAAGATTTAGTTATTTATTGGAAAGTCAGATATACAGAGAGGAGGAGAGACAGAGAGGAAGATCTTCTGTCCGATGATTCATTCCCCAAGTGACCGCAACAGCCGGTGCTGTGCCAGTCTGAAGCCAGGATCCCGGAACTTCTTCCGGGTCTCCCACACGGGTGCAGGTTCCCAAAGCTTTGGGTCATCCTCGACTGCCTTCCCAGGCCAAAAGCAGGGAGCTGGATGGGAAGTGGAGCTGCCGGGATTAGAACCGGCGTCCATATGGGATCCGGGCATATTTAAGGCGAGGACTTTAGTCACTAGGCCACGCCGCCAGGCCCCCAATTCTCCTCACGTTTAAACGCAGTCCAAGTACCTCTATTGTAATAACAGCTGTGTTAAGGAGCACTGGACGAAATTTTCAATGAAAGATCTATGTCATATAGAGTATATAAATATTTAGAGAGGATCCTTATAAATACTAATGAATATTCTATAAATTGTTTCGAAGGAAGATAAATCACTTAACAAATTACTTCTTCTGCTTTTCTGTATCTATTTCCTGCCTGAGTCTTGCCTGTGCTGGGTGTTAGTAACCTGGCTTAGACATACTTTTTGACAGTTGTGTTCAGGGTCAGACTCTTTCCTGCGGTAAGGAGAGACAGCAGGAGTAGGAAGGGATATTGTGCTCCTGCAAAATGGAAATTAGTGGGCACTGTGTTTCCCAACTTCTGAAATTCATTCAACAAAGTTTTCCTGGGACCCGTGGTATACTGTTGGTCTAGCACTGGGGATTCATGGACAAACTTCTCCTGCTACCATTATCTTGAAATTCTTAATAATTTTGGAACAAATGGTCCTCTAGTATTAGTTTCTACTAGGCTCACACCTTCCACAGCAGGTGCTTTGATTGTACATTATTTTTATTCTTTCAATCCATTTTATGTGAGTATGTGTGCATAAAATTTTAAATGTGATATTTGACAATTTTTGCAAAACATACTAATCCACTCAAAAAGTAGCATATTTCTATTACTCCAGAAAGTCCTTCTCTGCTCTTCTGAAAGTACTGACACTCCCCTGCTTTAGCCACTTGACTTTCTTTCGCTCTTGAGTTTTTTTCTGTTCCAAAATTTCGTGCAATCAGAATCGCATCATGCATATTGCTTATGTGTAGCTTTCCTTATTCGCCATGTTTTGGGATCATGCATGCTACTATATAAATCTGCAGTAATTTTTTGACTAAGTTATTCATTTGTAACTTCTTTATCATCCAAGTGAAATCAGGTGAGTGGACACTTTTATCTAATACTTTTTAAAAATGCAATGATATTGCTCATTTGATGTCTGTAAACAGTAAGTCAAGATTTTCCTCAGCGTGTAAACAGTGGGAGGCCTTTGATAGATTTCTATTCTCCTGGATCCATTTCAATTTGTCTTGTTTTTTTTTTTTTTTTTTTTTTTTGCCCAGGTGCAACAAACCTTTACTTTCAAATTGGATGCCTACAAAACAAAACAGGAGACCGTCCTACCAATGTGCCCCTCACGTGGCTAGGTGAGATTCTTTCCAGCGCCCAGTGGTCAAGAAGGAGTCAGTTCAATTCACTGTGTGCCTAATTCACAGCTCACGCCTGGGCTTCCTGAGGCCCGCACACAGTCCTATTGGTTGGGTGCTAACTGCTTGAGCCTGAAACAACTTGCTCCTGAGAGGAGGCTAAGTAAGATTCACTCTTAGCTGTGAAACTTAATTAGAAAGCTACTTCATTTCTTGGTTTCCTAAAGAAAACAATCTTTTTGCATAGCTATGAATAAACAAATTCTATCCCCAGCTTGGACTATCCTAAGTAATCATAGCAGGTAATAAATGTCTCCCTATGGTGAATTCAATGCAGTGTTCAGGGCTCTCTTATCTAGACAGGAAGTTAAATGCTAACAGCAACAGCATGAAAACTGCATGCAAGTGTGGTATAATTCTGATTTGCTTAAAAAAAAAAAGACGATTAATTTCCTTGTTACAAATCCAAGTAGCAACAACCCTTTAAAACTGTTGAGCCATGAAAGCCATTTTCCTAAAGGGTTTTAAATTTGGGAACAGACTCATGAAATTTATAGCTTTGCTGAGATGTTCTTTGCCTGCAGCCAAGATGAGAGCCACATCATTGGCTTCCCAGCATGACACCTGTGTATTCTTTGTGCACTAGATGTCATTGGGTTCATAATAACACAGTCAACCTCACGTCTAAGTTTGAAGGTTCAGTGATGTCTCTAGTTTACAAATTTCTTCCATACCTAAAGCTGCTAAGTATCTCATTCTGAAAAATGAGATACACTCTCTACCTGTAGTGCTACTATGTGTCAGTGGAGCAAAAGTCACAATCAGTAGTATGGCTTCTAGAAATAATAATAGATCATTTGAATTGGATGCTTTTGTTAGCCTGAATTCAGCAAGTATTTGTTGATAAAAATGGAAGAGACAGTGTGGCTGTCCGTGATGCATGTAACTTCTGCACATCCTCACTGGGAACCCCCGAGTCTCGCTGTTAAAGTGATGCAAGGCTGCTGTGGGGTGTGCAGGTGGCTGTGCTGTTGCAGCACTTGCAGACCTCAGGTCACTGAGAAAGGACCTGATGATCAGGAGGAGGTCTGAAGCAGCTACGGGAACTTGTCATTTTGTGTTTGGTGATGAAATACCGTAGGTCATGGAACCCTCAAACCATAGCGTGTTGTTTGCATGTCATAGTGAGTTTTTGAAAGTAGTTGATGAAATTCTGTGATTAAGTGTGCTAGTGTTTTATGTGTGAGCTTCAATCTGTGCAAATGTTTCAGAGCATTTTCCCCTGTAAGAATGGTCCCTCTACCATTTATTAACAATGTGGGGCGTACACAAGAAGTGAGATTCAACTCATTAAGATTTCTACCATGTCTACTTTATCCATCGTATTTCCTCTATTCCCTGAAAGCAGATCCCAGACTGCTGTGCTTGTTAACATGTGTCTTTCTGTTGGCAGGGATTTATTTCAGTATTATAAATATACTGAAATATATATCTATTTTACATATGTAATTTATTATAAATCATATCATATGCATATTTTATATAGGATATAATGCATATATAATCATATTAAAGATATACTTATGCATTTTATAGCAAATGAATCTTTTGTGTTTTTTAATAATGTGAGAGAGTCAATAGATCAAAATAGTGAGGGAAGACTGGATAACAGGAAGTGTAGTCTGGCTCGTGTGATTTGGGTATTTTTAGTGAGCGTCAAAAGAAGATATTGCTTTGATATTTTTTTAATGGCAGTGATGTAAGAAGCTGAAATTAACACAGACTCTCAGCTCACATTTGCATTTTTGCACCTTAGGCGGAAAAATAGAACTAATCAGAGCTGGCAATCATAAAGGAGAACACATTTTACCCTCCAGAGCATGGTTGAACTGAGATAGCTTTCTGATTTCACTAACAAGGAACAAAACTGGTACAGTCAACAATGCCTTCAAAAATGTTATCTTGTTACTGAAACCAAATTAACAAATGGAACATCTGTTCAGCATTATGATTTATCTTTTCTCCTTGAAAATGCCTCTTTTTTTGAGAGAAAATATTCTCAGCAAGTTTTGATCTGGGATTTATATTTGATTATGTCTAATCAGAAATAGGTTTTAGTAGGCCATTTGCCTTCCTTGTCCCTAGACTGACCCGGTTTGGATGTCTCTTCCCTCATCCCAGCTCAGGTTTCCCTCCCTAGAGAACAATTTCTGCCAAGCCTTTCCTTCACGCTGGTCTCTCCCCTGGGCCAGGCTGAAGTCAAACTCTCTTTTCACCTCTCTGCAAAGCATGGATGCTCTTTTTCATGGCATTCCTCATTCTCCTTCCAGGTACATTGCAAGCAAACCACTGACAAAGAAATGGTGGGTAGATTGTTTGTCACTATGATAAGCTACTCTTGAGTTAACATGAAGACAATTCCTAGATCTCAATGACTTCAACCATCAGAAGTGTACCCCTCACTCACATCACTCTGATTGGATTATGTGATTCCTCTTGGCAGTTTTTGAAAAGGAGTTAACTGTTGGGTTGATGTACTCACATTACAATCTCACATGAGTAATCTCTGTAGAGTACAGGGAGGGGAGATTGGGAGAATGAAGAATTAATTTATACATCATTGCTTCCATCTTGGGTTGCATATTTCTGCTCAGAGTCCTAGTGGCAAGAACTGGATCACGTAGCTGCACCCTAAACACAAGTCTGAGAAAGGCAAGGTATGCATTATGGTTTGAATACAGTTTCAGTATCTTCCTAATACTTTGTGCTAGAAGCTTGATCTCTCAGTGTGGCAATGTTAAAAGGTAGTAGAATATTTAAGAGGTGGCATCTAGTGAAAGAAATGAGATTATTGCAATTTAGCCCTCAGAAGGATTAACGTACTTCTCTTAATTCCTTCTAGATGCAGCCATTTCCTTTTCTGCTTTTCCAGCGTGTTGTGACACTGTTCTGGCATCAGATAGGTGGAGCTACCTGTTCGTGGACTTTCAACATATGAGTAAGCCATTTGTGTCTTCTAGTTCATGCTTATCCAAGTTGGTCTCCAACCCTCCCTCAAAGACTGGGAGAGATGGGCCCTATCTTTCTAGATGTCTGCATTTCTATTTTTTAAAATTTGTTTATTTATCTGAGAGGCAAATTTATAGAGAAGGAGAGATGGAGAGCTCTTCCATTCACTACTTTAATCTCCAAGCTGAGCTGTTCTGAAGGCTGAAGCCAAGAGCTTCTTCCAGATCTCCCATGTGGGTGCAGGAGGGTAAGGATTTGAGCTAGCCTTTGCTATGTTCCTGGACCAGAGGTAGGGAGCTGGATTGCAAGTGGAAGCAACTGGGACTAGAATCGACACCCAGATAGGCTGGTAGTGCTACAGGCAGAGGATTAGATGGCAGAGCCACTGCACCAGCCAGGTGACTACATTTCAAAAGGATGGCTCTTAGGTGTTTGAGAAAGAGATTATTGGGGATAGGTGCAATGACTCAACTGGCCAGTCCTCCACCTGCCAGTCCCAGGATCCCGTTTTGGCATTGGTTCATGTCCTGGCTGTCCCATTTGCCATCCAGCTCCTCACTTACAGTCTGGGAAAGCAGCAGTGGATGGCCCAAAACTTTAGGACCCTTCCTCTGCCTTTTGCCTTGAACCTGCAAAAATGAGAACACATTACTGATCCTCTGGCATGTGGCACTGGCGTCCCACATGACACCAGTTCGTGTCCCAGCAACTCCACCTACAATTCTACTCTCTGCTTACGGCCTGGAAAAGCAGCAGAGGATGGCACAAGTCCTCAGGCCCCTGTGCCCACATGGGAGACCTGGAAAGGTCTCCGGGATCTTGGCTTTGGTCCTGCTCAGTTCTGGCCATGGTGGCCATTTGGGGAGTAAACTGTGGGTAGAAGATCTCTCTTTGTGTCTCTTTTTCTGTAACTCTGATTTTTCATGTAAAAATAATTTTTTAAAAAAGAATACATTTTTGTAATTTCCTAATCACAGTCTTCTGGTATTTTGGTATAGTAGTTGGAACTAAGATAAAGCTGCTCACTGCTGGCTGTGATAAGAGACACCCAAGTGGCTAGGAATTAAAGAGGATTTTTAAAAACTGAGAACTGCTTCCATCTAATGGCCAGCACACACAGACAAAAATTTTTAAATTTAAAAATTTAAACATTTAAAATTAAAGGTTTTATTTCTAGAGAGAAAGTGAAATACATTTGCTAACCAAATGAGTTAGTGAGTTTGGAATACATCCCTTGTGAGACACACAGATGCAGCACAGCCCTGTGTATGATATTGAAGAGGAAGAGGAAGGCTGTGGCCAGACTCCTGACCCTCTAAACTACACGGTCGCAGAAGTACGTCGTGTTTAGCTAGCCTGCAGTCATTTGTTACACAGCAAAGGACAGCTAAGACGGTGTTTCCAAAAACATATGCAGTTAAACACTATTTCCACATTAGTCTCCATGAGAAAACAAACAAGACTCTCAGATTCAAATCAGTTTGAAAAATGTTACTTTCTATGTTCCCTACCCTCTTAGAAATGATGTTGTATTCTGAGAAATGCAGAGAAGGAGCAGTGTTGGGTCTAGGTTCTATTATCACACCACAAAATCGGGCTTGCAAATAGCAGCAGCCCCCCCCACCACCACCACCACACTGGACCTGCAACACAGACTTTCCCATGGTCGTTGTAGAGGAACCAATTCTTATTGCCCAACTTCTTTCTATTTTGTTTTCTACTGACATAGCAAAGGACACTTGGTGGTGTCAATGAGGGGTGTCTTGGAGTTGTCTTCTCATTACCCGAGAAGGTACCCCTCCTGTCTCCACCACCAGACATGCTGATGGCAATCAAAACAGTTGAAACATTGCTGTCCCTGCTGAGAAAGCAGAGTGATTTCTCTGTGCTTCTCCTCCTAACTTTGCCCCTTTACTTTTCAAATAAATTTTTAAAAAGTTTTTAAGAAAAGAGTGATGACTATCATAGGTATCACATCCTTTCACCAACCTAGATGTCCTGCCCTTTATTTTTACCGTGCGGAAGAAGTCACGGTTTTTGTCTTAAGTACAGTCAGCCTCAGGCAAATAAATCCAGAGATGGAGAGTTCGTTAAGGATACTCCTCGCACAGCCAGGCACCTCCCAAAGGGCAGAGCAAGATCTAAAGTCTTGAGCGGCTGTTACTAAGGTCTGCCTGAACATGACAGTCCTGCGGAAGGAGATTGAACAACCCTGGGGTCTGCATGATTTGTAAATCTCCAGTTGGAGTACAGGTTTTGGGCTCCAATCCAATGTGCTTGTAATAGCATCAAGCCTGCCTTACCCTGTACTGAGGAACGAGGATAGCAGAACGCCTGCCCATTTTCCTTTTCTGAGAAGGAAACACTTTGGGTTCCTCTTATGCAACTGGAGAGCATGGGCTGTTAGGCAGCCCAACCTTATGAGGTGTAAACCTGTTCATTTGCAATCTGAATCTGGACACACCAGGGCAAGTCCTTGATTTGTTTTGTTTTATATTTTAGCCCATGAAAAGTCAAGAGCATTCCACCAGTCTTTGGATTCTGGTGATCAAAAAGTGCTCTTCTAATAAACTGGGAAGAGTTTAAACAATGTGAAATATAGTATCATTTAAACCATGTGGGAATCAGCACAGCGACTGGGCGTTATCAACTGAATTTGCCAGGAGTTTCAAAAATCCATTTTGAAAACATATGAATATGTGAACACATGAACAAATTAAATAGATACCCACATGCAAGTGCTTCATTGTCTTTAAATGAAACAGCAGTAATGGTACAAATTGTGATGTTTTCCCCAGAGACTTTTCTTATTACATGCAGAGCTTGTGTGTATACTTGTTTCTCTTTATATCTGACCAATTCCCTAAACAAGAAGAGATGGCTTATCCAATGAATACAATAAAATGGAAAGAAATAGATCTAAGTAGGTAAAACCAGAGGCAGATAAAATACAAAGCCAAGAGTGGAGAAAGGCAGAACAGACCGGCAGATCCCGCTGACTTATTAAACTTGAGTCATAAATTTGGCTCTGAGCTTCCTGGAGGCTAAGCAGCTAGAAATTAATGTGTAGACTAACAGATTTTGATATGTTATCAGTAGGAAAAATGTATTTTCCATTAGCTCCCTAATTCTTTAATACTTCACACTAAATATCCTTTGCAGATAAAGTTTAAATATAAAAATTTCATGCAAAATAAAGAGTGCTAATTAGAAGAAAAGATATAAAGAAGTGTGTTTATAAAAGTGTTTCGCATTATGGAAACCAATGGTTTAAAAAAAAAAATAGTCTGGCAAGAAAGAACTTCAAAGTGTTCCCAGGTTAATCTGGAGAATGGAACCAAAAGCCTGCTGCTCTGAAGGTTTAATCCAAGATGCTTATCCAACCTCTTTGTTGAACAAATCTTGCAAATAGGCCTTTCTGTGGGAGCTGGAAATGTCAGCAGCGCAGGCTTCCCGATGATCTTGTGCAGGCATACCATCCTAACAGTTGGGGTAAGGGTGGGAGGGGAAGATAGTGGAACCGTTGCATTGCCTGGTTTTTATGATGCACGACATGACAGCTTTTCTGGCAATGATGATAGGCATAACTTCAAGAGAAAACAAATGAATGCCCCAAGAATAGAAACAAGATAGTTTGACAAGAGCTACCCGCACAAACGCTCCACAATTACTGGTGTTATAGGATACATTTCAAAGGAGGATCGAATTATGCCTTTTCACACAGATAAAAAACAGACACATGTTAAAGAATTCATTTAACTCATTGCTGGCAAAGGAACGCGGCAGATATTACAACGGGCTCAAAGGAGAATTCACGGAAGAGATACAGGTGTATTGACATGAGGCTTTTCCGCAGGAGAGCCTTGCCCTCCACTGCCTGTCAAATCATTTGCATGCCCATAGACTTATGTGGCTTGTTTTGACATCAATTATCAAATAGCTCAAAGATAACGAAAGGCTAGAATCAGATAACCTTGTAAAGACATTTTTAAATGACTGATTTCCATTGGACACACCTAGTAAATGGCTTTTTTTTTTTTTAATTGGAGACACCTACTAATCCTATTGGCTTTTTCTAAATGTACTTGCTCTGATAAGTCAATATGACCTCCAACCTGGACACTCTGCTTTTGGAGCATTTGGAAACCCATGATGTTCCTTACCATTCTTCCTGGGATTCATCAATGACACAATTGCCTTTGATCTTCAAGTAAACGAGAGAGGGTCTAACCCTAATGCGGAAGCTAAAGATTTGCCCTAATGACAGATCTGCTGATATCTGACTTCAGTCTAAGACTAAAGCATCTGATGAAAGATCAAGATGAGTTCATGTGAATGTTTCATCAATGTCATCTATGGCAAGCTCTGTCATTGTAGGAGTACCAGCTTTTGTACAATGCCCTAGCTATAGGGTAAAGGACTAACAAATCTGGAAAACACAAGTTGTTTTTCTATTCTTAGATCTTTTCTCTAGTGTCAGACACCGATCACCTGCTCACTAAAGTCATTCCCAGCTTCCTTTGCAGTGATCACACGGTTATTTCCTGACCAAAGCAACACGATCCACAAAGCTTTCACCACCTTTAGGGCATGCTCCTTCCCCCCATCCCTCTGCTGGATGCAAAGTTCTCCAGCTTCCTTAGAGGGTGGAGACTTACACTGAAAGAATCTTGGGTTCCTGAATGATCATGAGCTTTTGACCTGAGTGAGAAACAAGCATATATTTTGCAGTTTGCAACACCAAATCACATTACCTTAAATAGCACACATCCCAAATTCCTTTTGAATTAAAAAATTGAAAGTAGCCAATGTATTCACAATATTCTAAAATCAAAACAATTGAAGTGACAATCTCACTTCTATCCTGTTTGTATCCATCTTGCTCCATGCTCACCATGCCCCACCACCATGTGAATTATTATAATAGTGTCTTGGCTATCTTAGCTCTGTTTCTTTAAGCTATTTTACAATGCTCCTCTTTCCTAGAGCAAGATGACCTCAGCCTCTCCATGTGTGATAATTCGTAAGATTCCTCACTCTTTCACAGCTGCCTAGTATTTCACTAGGGGTACTGCTTTAGATTATGTAAGCGGTCAGCTGTTGATGGACAATTGTCAACCTACATTCTTGAAGACATGATGTAAATGGAATAGGCCAGTGGGAATTGACTATTTAAGCTCAGTTCTTCTTAACTGCAGATGGAGGTTCTACATCACCATCTTCAGGAAGAGGCAGGTGCCTGGAAGAGTCTCTGCATTTATTTATTAAATACAACCATACGAGGAGATTTGAAGAAGTTTGTGGAGAAAGGTAAATGACTGATAAGTTTATTCTGGTGGGAAAACATTTTGAAGTCCCTTTATAACTGTGGTAACTTTTTCTGCTACTTAAGCATACCATGGCATGGTAGGCTTAGACAAAGGCAGAAAATCTAGTGCTACACTGTAAATGTATATTTAAATGTTTTATTGAGAATGCAACTTTTATTTGGGAGCAGAGTCACAGGCTGCAAAATATCTTTGCTTTCTAGTATGCTAGTCTCCAGTATAGAGTTCATTTATGAAAATGCACGTATAGACTTGATTGCCTATATCTATTTATTTTGTACCTTGCATTGACTGTCTTATATCAGAAAGAGCATACAATAGTTGTCCTTTTGTGACTGGCTTCTTTCACGAAGCATAATTGTCTCCACTGGGGACCATTTTGTTGCAAATGGTAAAATTTCATTCTTTTTGATGGCTGAGTCGTATTCCATGCAGTACATGTATCACAATTTCTTTATCCATTCCTTTGTTGATGGTCATCTGGGTCGTTTCCATGTCTTTGCTGTTGTGAATTAGACTGCTATAAATAATAGAGTTGCAGGTCTCTTTCTGGTATGCAGACTGCATTTCATTTGGCCATGTTCTCAGGAGTCCGCCATTCCTATTACTGATAGAGCACACTGAGAGTACACAAAGGTCTCGACCCTATAAAAGATTAGCAATTGCACAGTCTAACAAAATCACACGTAAATCTTTGGCGATTATGTATGATTCCTAGAGATGAGCTTGCCAGCACATTGCTCCCATGGATGAGATCACAGCTCTGCTTCTGATTCCAGCTTCCTGATGATGTACACCCTAAGAGGCAGCAGGTGATGCTCAAGCACTTGGGTCCCTACCATTTACAGGGAGACATGAATCGAGTTCCAATCTTCTGGCATCAGGCTGACCCAGCCCTGGCTGTTGTGGGTATTTGAGTGAGTGAACCAACATTAACTGGGGGGGTTCTTTCTATCACTCTGCCCCTCGAACAACCATAGTGACAACTTTGTATTGTTAGCCAGACTTTTAATTGCTCTTCATTGAACATTTATATAAAAGAATCGTTTTGATTTTCCTGAATTGTTCTTGCCTTAAGCTAAGCTGGAAGAACACATCCCTGAACAATAGCTGACCTTTGCAGCCCCACACACCGCTGCTGGCTC